CTGTGGTACAAGTATTCCGTGAAAGGAGGAGGGGGGGAGGAGAGGAAGGGGGGAGGAGGAGGAGGAGGAGGGGGAGGAGTAGGAGGTGGGGGTGGTACTGGTGGAGGTAGGTGTTCATCTCAGGGAGGAAGTGAAGAGAGGGCGTCACAAGAAGGGGGGCGAAGCAGCCGAGGAGAGAGTGGAGGGGCTGGTGGAGGGGGTAGGCTCGGAACAGGCTCGATTGTCGGTCTGGGCTCCACTGCCTCGAAGGGGATTGGCGGCCTGAGCCCCAGGTTTAAGGTGAGGACGAGGGCAATGCCTGCCACGTGGTGCCCCGTGGCCCCACCATCATCAACCTTGGTGGAGGCGCAAGAATCTGGTGAGATGTTAGAGCAGGTAGACGAAGCCAACTTTGCTATGGATGGTTTGAAAAGAGGAGCGCCTCTGAAAGTGCTGCGCGCCAGTGTGGCCTCGCTGGCGCAGCTCTGCGGTTCGACCGAGCGCCGCCGTTTGCTACGAACACACGGGTTCGAATCCACGAACTCTTATCCCCCTCCCTCCCTCCCTCCCTCCCTCCCTCCCTCCCTCCCTCTCTCTCTCTCTCTTTGTGGCTCCATATCTTCCTATGACTCCCACTCTCTCTCTCTCTCTCTTACTTTCCCGTTCGTTGCTTCCTCTCCTTTTCTGCTCTTTCTCTTTCTCTGCTCTGTCTCCTTCTCTCCCCCTCCTCTGTCTCTCTGTCTTTGTGTCTCCGTTTCCTTCTCTCTTGCCTCTCTCTCTCTCTCTCTTTCTCTCTCCCTTTGCCTCGTCTTCTTACTTTATCCCCTTCTCTCCTCTTTCCTTCTCTCTCCTTCCCTCTGTTTCCATCTTTTTTGCTCCAGTTCTCTCTCTCTCTCTCTCTCTCTCTCCTTCTGCCTCCCAGTCACGCTCGTTGCCCGTGTAAGTCTAACTCATGGGGCTTCCTTGGTTTCGATGGGGGCAATGGAGAAGGGAGGGATTGTTGTTAGTGCAGAAGGTGGCGGTTCTTGATTTTGACCAAGTTCCTTTTCGTTTGGGGTTGTGGGGGTGGGGTGGGTGTTGAAAACTCAGTATTGTTATGGATTGCGTGGGTATGAAGGCGAAGGAAAAAGAGTGGGCAAGATTGGCGGGTCCCGCAAGGCAACAGAAAATCGGGACCATATTCTTAACTAGTTGATCGTTGGTTCGAATCCATCTTAGGGAGCTGTTGTTTGTTCCAAAAAAATCTACTTATTGTACGGTCAGCCGGCATTTTCTACATCTTTCTAGCCAGCGAACGAACGCGCGCGCGCGCGCGCGCGCGCGAGAGAGAGAGAGAGAGAGAGAGAGAGAAACCGCCATTGTTGATGTATAGTGGTGGGAAGGGCGAATAAAAAGTGAGCGAACGAACGCGCGCGCGCGCGCGCGCGCGCGCGAGAGAGAGAGAGAGAGAGAGAGAGAGAGAGAGAGAGAGAGAGAGAGAGAGAGAGAGAGAGAGAGAGAGACCGCCCTTGTTTGTGCCGAGGTGGAGAAAATGCCGAGCTGGAAGGGATGGGTGTTATAATCCCCTCCTCCTTTTCCTTCGTTCTTCTCTCTTCTTTCTCGTGGTTGTTTTTCTTTTTCTTTTTTTCTGGATTTTCTGTTTGCGTTCTTCGATAGCATTTTTTTTTGGAGGCGCTACTGCGCCATAATATGAGGGGTTGCTTTGGGAAAACCGAAGCATGTATGAAGGTGGTTTTGGGTTTTGTTCACCTCTCCCCCTCCCCTCCCGTCCCCTCGCCGAAAAAAAAAGGAAAAGAAGTCTGTGGGTGAATTCGACCTCATCAGATAGAAAAACGAATCGATCGCACGATTGCCAAGGAAGAGCACAGAACTTTGGAAGAGTCTGGGCCTCGCTGCAGTACTCAACATTCGACATGTATCAGGAATGCAATATGGACCTGATGCGTTTGGACTGGTCCAACATCGTGAATGTATCTGGACCACTTGGTGCTCTAGGTACTTTTATAGTGTCGTGCAGTGCAGCGAGGCCCACTATGTGTGATTTCGTTTGTTTGGGGGCGAGGGAACGATACAAGATGAACGAGATAAGAATACGAGAAACGGTGACAAAAGAAGAAATCAAGAAACAAACAAACAAACAAACAACAATAAAACAGAAAGACAAACAAGTAGTAAAAGAATACTAAAAATTAAAAACAAAACAAACAAACAATAAAACAGAAAAACGAATAAACAATAAAACAGAAAAACGAATAAACAATAAAACAAAGAAAATCAACATCGCCAACAAAATAAAACAACCAAAAAAAAAGTCGAGAAACGTGTTTTGGTGACCGAGTAACGAAGAGAAGGGAGGAAAAGGAGTTAGAGAGTTGATGAGGCCGATGAGGAGGCAGGGCAAGGGGTTTACGCAAAGAGGACGGAGGAAAAGGAGCTAGAGATTTGATGATGACGAGGAGGAGGTAGGGCAAGGATGATGGGGTTTCGCAAAGACGACGGAGGAAAAAGGAGTTAGCGAGTTGGTGAGAAGGAAGACAAGGATGATGATGATGATGATGAGGAGGAGGAGGAGGAGGAGGTAGGGCAAGGGGTTTCCGGGTGCTTCACATCACCAACGAGAAGCCGCAGTGCGTAACAGAATGTAGAAGGAGGAGGAGGAGGGGGGGAATGAGGAGGAGGAGGAGGAGGTAGGGCAGGGGCATTGGTTTGCCCGTTGGAGACGGCGTAACAGCATGGAGGAGGACAAGGGGAGGCGGCGTGAGAAGGGCAGGATTCGGGGAGGAGAAAGGGTCTAGGGCCAATATGAACAGATAGGGGTATAAATAAAGGGAGAAGGAAGGCGGTGGAGGAAAAGAGGGAGGAGGGGTTATGGGGTTTTGTGTTGTGCTAATGTGGGAAAATCGAGCGGGAAAATGAAAAAGGTGACCGTTGGATCGAAGGTAAGCAACGGTCAGCGTTTGACTTTTGACTGTCAGTTTTGTGTTCCCTTTTTTTTGTGAGAATCGCTCTCAGCTGTGCGTTTCCTCTTTCTGTACCTCTTGCCTTATACGCCTCCCCTCTCCCAGGGGGAGTTGTGGGGACAATTGATATGATTTATTTGTGAGGTGAAATTGAGAGAAGAATATAGCTTTAGGAAAAAAAAAAAAAAACAATGAAGCGGGAGGAGGACGCAGAAAAGGGGGAGAGGAAAATTAAAAAAAAGAAAAATAGAAAATAAAGCTAGGCTACCAGAGTGGCCCGGGTCCACTTGCCCGGCCGGGCAAAAAAGATATAGAAAAAGTAAAAAAATAAAAAATTATTTTTAAATTTTAAATTTTTATTTTAAATTGGTAAAGATTCTCGATGTGACCCTGAGGCAAAAGTTGTTCAGTTTATTTTTCTGCATAACATAGTTTTTTTTCGTTTTTTTTTTTTTTTTTTTTTTTGGCTGG